CCGGCTTACAGCCGCAAGACGAGCACCAGTAGCACCAATACCACCACAACCACGTCCACGGCACCGGCCAACGATGAAATCGACAAGCTGACGAGCGGTATGCGCAAGATCAAGATCAATGTTGTGACGACGGCGCAAAAGGAAGCACGGGAGAAGGCGAAGCGAGGTGCAGCAGAGACAGACAAACAGGCCTCGTCTTCGCAGACAACGTCACAAACCGTTTCTTCCCGCGAGTCCTCGGCCGACTTGCCGGCCGCGGCGGCCGCAACGCCGCTGCACAGAAAGGTCGCCGACACGGCGTCAGCATCGACGGCAGCGCCGCCTAGCACGCCGCTCGCCCAGACCATTGGTGCCGCCCCGGCACTGCGCCTGACGGAGGCGGTTGATCTGGAAGGCCCACCCCTCTCCGTGGATACGGCAATGGCCGGCTCCTCCATTGCCGGCTCCGACGACCACTCGCCGCTGCTGACGCCGAGCACGGAGGGCGGTCTTGGCGGCGACCCAATGGCCAGCTTCCCTGGTGTTTCTCTACCTGCGCCGGCACCGGCCGTCTTCATTCCCTACCAGCCCGACGGCACACCCCAGCCACCCCGCGTACCGTCGCTGTCGGCTACGGCAGCGCCCCTCCAATGGCTGCCTCCCAACGAAGTCAACACGCCTGGGACAGTGGCAGCGACGCCGTCGCCCATGAAGCGCGCCGACCTGCCCGTGTTCACGGCCACGTCTGCGATCCCCTTCTTTGGCGGAGGCAGCGGCGGTGCCACGTTGTCGTCGTCGCGGCCGAGCTCGGCAGGCCTGTCGGTGGCGTCGAATTCGAATTCGTCCCGACCGGCTACGTCGTCTGGCACGCTACCACCAGCATCGCCCACAATGCGGCCGCGCTCACCGACAAAGCTACCGCGCTCGCCGACCAAGTCGCCTCGGAAGATGCAGAAGTAAGGTAAACGACCTGGCTTGTGCCGACTCCATACTGCGCATCGGGAGAGTGGATATATCGTGTTTTGCAAACCATTTGCATTTTTTGTTTATTGAAAGGAGGGCAGGCGTACAAAAGAGGGATAAGACTGGGTGCAGGTGTCTCGTCTCTTTATTATTTGGGCCGTTCTTGTGTTCTTTTCTTGTCCGTTCATTTCCGTTGTTTGGTAGCTTCGTTCTGTACTTCTGTGCCGTCTCTGTTTTCGAGACAATACCCAACTCGTCTGTACGTACTGTTGTAATCCTTCCTCTTTTACTCTTTTCTTCCTCGTTTACTTTCAAGGCCAGCAACTGGAACATGGCACAATGGAATTGCGATACAACAACTCGGGTCAGAGAATATTAGAAACGGAAACGAAGCTTGAAAAAACCGTCAAGCGACTATCCGATCATAACCACAACCGTGCCGACGTGTTAAAATAATTGGTATAAAAGCACCGCCTAGGCCAGGAGGGAGAATGCCCGCCGCGATTCCAGGCCACTGGCTCGATGACAACAGCCATCTAATTCGCATGTTGTGAGAGCTAGTGTGGGGCTGCTTTAGCGATGCCCGCGAAACAAAGGCCGAGCCCAGCCGCTCTGCGACTACAACGCTACCCCGTTTTGTTCCATGGCGTCGTCATCGATTTTGGGCCGACGGGAACATTCTCTCCGTGATTGTTCTGCCACTTGGATGCCATTCTGTTTGTCGGTGTGCGATGCTTGCAAAGACTTGCTGTCATTCGTTTTCGGCCGTTGAAATTGGCCGTTGCATACTGTGTAGACGATTCCAATCGAGTCTGTAAACTCTCCGATGCTGGTCGATTGGACGAAAGAGGAATGTCCAGATCACAAAACGACGTGAGACAACACGTCTCGCCGTCCAGAGTCGCCATCCTCTACTTCCCACAGTTATAGCCGGAGTATTTCGCCCCTTTGAAGCTTGCTCTTGCCCATTCTCGCCTGCCACTGGTCACTTCAGCTTGCGGATCGGCGCTTTTGGCAGTCACCCGCCCTCACTCCAGCTGCCTGCTTTTTCCCCGCGTTTGATCCCAGCCGTGCCTGCCTCCGTTGCCGTCATAGCTTACGAGTATCTCCTTGCTTGCCTTCCTATTTCGTCTGCTCCTTCCTTACAAGTGCCACGACCACATCTCCTGGCTCCTTCCTCGCTTTCGAACTGAATTCTTTCTCCATTGAACACAATTGCTTCTTTGGTCTTTCCTCGTTCGCATTCATCACCAACCATCGTCAACATATCTGTTTTTGGCACCGCTTCACAACCGCCATCATGGACCGCCTCAACCCCTTCTCCCGGCGGGAGAGCCGCACCCGCAGCGAGCTCGCCACCTACCGTGTGCTGACGCTCGCCTCCTGGGCCCTCTCCGTCGCCGTCTCCGTCTACTATTCCGTCCGCTCGCCGCATGGCTGGGGCCACAACGCCCATCGCATCGCCCGGCAAAACCATCTGCATCCGTCGGCCTTCTCGCTCAACATGGTCATCGTCTACGTCTATTTTGTCAGCCTCTTCGTCTCCCAGGCCGGCTACCTGGGCCACCTCTTTGCGTCAGCCCACCAGTCCGAGCGCGTCAATGCCGCCGTTGCCGTTGGTTCGCATTTCATCGTCAACAACGTCTTCCACGCCGTCTTTGTGCTGCTCTTTGTCAGTGGCCACTTCTTCTGGGCCGAGGTTGTGCTGCTGCTCAATTTTGTCAACCTCACCAGCTTGTACTTCCGCCACCCGTCGGCGTCGCACCCGCGCGGCCTCGTCCACACGCCGACCGTTGCCGGCCCGCTGGCCTGGACGTTTGTCGCCATCTACTGGAACGGCGCCATCATGGTGCCGCATGCCCACAGCCTGGCGATGCGCATCCTGGCCAACGTGTTTGTGTGGGCCATCCTGGCGTACGGTCTCTTCTACATCATGGTCTACGCCGACTACTCCATGGGCTTTGCGCTGTCCATCCTGGCCGCCGCGCTGGGCGCAGGCCAGTTCCTGCGCCAGTTCATTGCGCTTCAGTGGATCTTTGCCTTTATCGTCATGAGCGTCTTGTTCCTCGCGACGGTCGCCGTGGCATTGCCTGTGTGGACCGGCAGACAGCAGTCTGCGCTGGTCATCCCGCGCGACTCGGAGCGTGCTCCTCTGCTTGACGAGCCGCAGTAAACATGCCTCCAAACAGACGGAAACCAAGCCGAGAAACCATACCGTTTGTCTGCTACGCAGCTTTTTCATGGGACACCAAAAAGACAAGGATCCATCGTCCGCACTGTACCCATCCATGGACAAAATCGTCACGTCACGACGAAGCACCACAAAGTAACAATAAAAAACAGTTACAATTATCGCGAACCCTTTCACCCGTATTTGAACTCTCGTCACGATATCTCACAACATCTCATAACACTTTACAACAATTGCATAGCCAAGGCCTCACCGCGCCTCCTGGCCGTATTGATTCATCCCCTTGGTTCATGACTGGAAAAAACCCATCAGATTGTCTACGTCTTTTTTTCCTATTTCGCCTGCTTTTCATTCATAATTCGGCAATTTGGTAACATTTGAAATGTGTCTATATAGTATGGAGTTGCATAAATAAAACCCACAATGTCAGGAAAGCATGTTGTTGTGTCAAGACACCGGAAAATACAAGTAAGTGAACTTGTAAATGGCTGTTTTGGTAAGGTCTTGTGTTGCGCTAAATCCTGCCATTTACGTCCCGCTGCAGATCGCTGGGTAGCTACCCCAGTAAGGCTTACCTAATCGTCCCAATTCGTCGTTCTCATTTTCAACCTCACTTTCAATGCATTCACTCTCACACCTGCTTTATCTCCAGCACAAGGCTCATATACAACAACCCACGCAATGTGTCCGACGGCCACTGCCCGGACAGCGTCCCGTGTGCTGCCGTTTGGCGTACCACAGCTGCACGTCGGCACCGACATTTGCCACGTCGCTCGAGTCTATGCCATTCTGAAGAAGGCCCGGCCCGCGTCGCCTTTGTCGTCGTCTATATCGTCGCCGTCGTCGTCGCCACCGCCAACACAGACGACAGCATCCCGCTTCATCCGGCGTGTGTTAACACCAAGCGAAGTGGATGCCCTAGGGTCACCACGTACACCACCATCACCGTCACCGTCGCAGGCGTCGACTACGATGTCCGCGCACACTGCGGTGGCCTTGCTGGCGAGGGGTGCGTCCGTTTCAGACCTTGTTTCTGAGACCGCCGAGACCGCCGAGACCTCCGTCGAGACCTCGCCGCTGTGGCGGGCGGCGCAGTACTTGGCCAGCCGGTTTGCGGCCAAAGAGGCTGCCATCAAGGCGCATCCACACCTGCCGGGGCTGACGCTGCAGGACGTGCGGATTGCACGACGGCCAGCGTCACAGCAAACGGGCGGCATCAGCAGAACAGGCGACGCGATCGCAACCGGCGACGATGTCGTGCGGCGGCGGAATGCCAACAGTGGGCCACCGTTGGCATATGTCCGTGTCTACTCTCTGGAAACGGACGACGGCATCGTCGAGCAAGAGGCCCGCATCAGCATCAGCCACGACGGCGAGTATGCCACGGCCGTTTGTTTGGGTGTTGAGCATCCATTATGAGCCGTCCCTACTGTACCCCATACTCTGTCACTTATACCCATATAGACTGCATGTCATTGAAAGTCCTTTTATTAAACAATAACAAGCAAAACTACACGCTCCCGGGATATCTTTCGGCGTTCCTTTAACCTAAAGTCAACGCAGTCCAACTCCACGCCTGCCTCCCAAAGTGCAGGCCCATCTCAGCGACACCACCTCGCACGATCCAGACTAATGATGTATGTTTTATTGTTTTTGGTATCGCCCTGGCACAAAGATTCCGTGCGTTTTCACCGGTCCAATGTAGCCAAATAAAGTAAACAAAACGAGAAAGGAAAAGAAAGCCAGAAATTAAGACAACAGGGAATAATAAGAAAAGAGAATTAAAAAAGTGTTTGTTGCGGGAGACGTGCCGTATCCAAATATACACCAATGACAAGACCGTCACTAGAGCAACTTGGTGCTGTGCTTAGTAGAGGACGCGCTCAGTGTAGATGGGAGGTTGCATGTTGTCCTGGTCCCATTCAATCTTGCCCTTCTCAGACAAAGTGACGCCAGCATCCGTGATATTGATGTAGGGCTGCGTGTGGGCAATCTCCTGCTTCGAGACACCGGCAGGATCCTCGGGAATCCAAAGCAACGGGGGCTCGCTGCCCACCGACGGCGGAACGTAGGCATTCCGCTCAACCTCTGGGGTGTACATGTTCCCAAAGTTCACATTGTTTGCGTGGTCCGGAACCAGCTCGCGCATGGACTCGTAGTTGGAAAACACCCAAGGCTTGAGGAAACGGAGAAGAATGTTGCCCTTGGGAGGAGGCCCAGTAAGAGCACCCGTGTGGCCATGGGCGCCAACATCCGCGTTGGCACCGTTGGCAACATTGGCACCGTTGGCACCCTTAACACCGATAGGAGCCCCAGCGTCACCATATTTCTCGTATTCTGCGCCACCCTGAGTCGATGCCGGGCTCACCACGGTGTTGCTCTCCGCAGGGCGGTTCTGAGCGACATTCACGCCCGCGCCCGAGGCACCGGCGGGAGCAATCTCGGCCGGGATAGGGCCGTTGCCAGTAACGCCAACAGGAGCAACACCGCCAGCAGGCACGCGCTCAACATCGCCAATGCGGCGGGCCTCCTCCTCGGCCAACAGGCTCTGGGGCATGTTGTACAGAAGAGGGTCGAGGGCCGACACCAAGCTGATGTGGAAGAGCACAGTGAACACCAGGAAAACAACCTGCAGAGCGAGCTGGATCGGGGCAACGGAAGCACCGAAAAGACCAATCATGCAAATCTCCGACAGGTAGACACCCGTCATGAGCTGCTTCAGGGCACGCGGGTAGATGAGACCGCGCGTGTCAATCTGCGTGTCCGTGACGAACAGGACGTTGTAGCGGTAGGCGAAGTAGAAGAAGGCCATGCCCAAGCACGCCCAGCCGAGCACCAGGGGCGCAATGGCCGAGTACGTGATGGCAATGACAGCGATGTTGGTGTAGACCGGGAGAGTGCTGCCCCACGAGATGGTGCTGAGGCTGGCCCACTTCTGGTACATGCCGCGAGGAGTGCCCGTGAGGTACTTGTACATGAGGTGGAAGATGAAGAAGCCCACGACCTGCGAGATGACACCAGCAGCGACTGTCAGGCCCTGGACGATGAAGTACGACATGTAGAAGTTGGACGCCTTGGGCAGGTTGGTGGCCAGCAGGCTGGTGACGGAGCCCGGGTTGCTGGCAATCTGCTTGCCAACGGCCGAGGCGGACGAGGCGACCGTCGTGACGAGGAACACCTGGACAACCTGGAAGGCAAAGTAGGCGTTTTGGGTAAACAGCTCGACGCGGGCGGTGGAGGGCTCGCCAGCCAGACGGGCGCACAGACGCATGACGACGGGCACGAGCGACATGAGAATGGACAGAGCGACCGAGGGCAAAAGACCGGTGATGAAGCCCATGATGACCTGGGGCACCTTCTTCAGCCAAGTGAGGAACGAGATGGTCTCGAGGTAGTTGACGTTGCTGATCACACCGACGACAGCGACAGGGATAGCCCAGAAGATAATGAGCGCCGCAATGAAGGCAAGAACGGCATAACGACGGATAACCAACTGCCACCAGGGGAGGTTGAGCGAAGACCAGATGACGTCCGAGGGCGTGATGCCGATGAAGCGCGCCATGTGCAGGCCCTCGTGGTGGGCCAGGGACTGGTAGGCGTTTTCGGCAGCGGCCTGGTTGTCAAACTCAACAAAAATGGCAGAGGCAGGCTTGGGCGTGCCAGCGTGGTACGCGGCCTGCTCACGGACAATCAGGGGCGAAAGGCGCTGAATTTCGGACCGGCAGTAGTCAATGGAGTCGACCTTCTTGCCAATCAGGCCCAGGAGACCGGTGCGGTGGGTAGGGCGCTTCTTGCGCGCGAGCCAGCGGGCAGCAACACTGCCCGACTCGCCCTCACCGGGCGCAGCAGCCACGTTGTCCTTAATCTCGGGGGCGTTGCCTTTCTTGAGGGCCTTCTGGCGCTCCTTGTTGGCGGCCTTGATGAGCTTGACCTCGGCCTTCTCGAGGCGGAAAGCCGCCTTATCGCGGTCCTTGACATGCTCGTCGAGCTCCTTGGTGTCGCGGTTGATCCAGACGTTGCGCACGTGGGCGCCGAACACCTTGCGCACGCGGCGCTCGTCACAGAGAGCCTCGGGCACACAGGTGAACAGCACGGTGCGGGAGGACATGCGCTGCGAGTAGACGGGGCTGAGCAGGAAGGCCTGGCGCAGGTTGATGTAGAAGACGAATTCGCGGAAGATCAAGTACATGATGAAAATGTAGTAGACCCAAGAGACAAAGAGGTGCGCAAAGTAGCGGTAGCGCTTCTTGAACGTGCTGCTGTCGACATTGGAGTAGGACAGAATGTCCAGCTGCTTCTGGCCGCCGCCGCCGGTGGCGTTGACGGGGAAGAGGATGGGCCAGGTGATGAGGCAGCCCACGAAGGTGACGATGACCGTCATGCGCAGGAAACGGAGGAACAGGTACGCATCCAGGGACTGATGCTGCAGGGCGTACACATCAGGCAGGTGGAAGTAATTCCGAAACCAGTTCACGAAGCCATTGGGGAGTTTGGGAGTGCGCTCTCTGTGAAAGGAGTGAGGTTTGTTAGTAAGTCCCCAGGATAGAGGCAACGGCCACAGCTGTCACGCCGTTGCTGTGAAGGTGTTGTGATAGCAAGAACATACTCCTCTTTGAGAGAGCCAAGATAGGTACGCGGCGCATACCAGCGAGGCTGGCTACGACGGAGCACCAAGAAGATGATGAAGTAAATGGCCGAAACTACGGCCACAGGACCAATGGTCAGGTAAAGGCCTGTATAACGAAGCTCTGGTCAGCAAGTGTTGTCCCAGTCCAGACGAGGCTGTAATCTCAAATCTGGAATGGCTCGGCAAAGGAAGAAGAGCCTTACCCTGCAGCGACGATGACTGCGGCGTGCCGCTGGAGTCGCTCATGGCTGTGACGAATCCAGAACGCTGCCCGGACGCAAACAAAAGTGAGAGTGTGATAACGTAAGGAGCAGGGCTCACGTAGCTATGCAGAGGCTACGTCGTATTTGGCGATAACAATGCCGTGCAATGGCGATGTTCGTCGAAGTCTGTTGTTGTCGATGCTCCACGATCTGATGCCAAGAACGAGGGGGCAGGCGGGATAGGAACAAAAATAAAAGGAACAAAAATAAAAGGAACCAAAATAAAAGGGACCAAAAAGGGAAAAGGGAGAAAGGAAAAGAAGAGTCTCCAGGGGAGTGAGGGAGGGGGATCGAAACGAGGCGGTGGGAATAGATAAATAAGGAGTCGGATTGGGAAATGGGAGCTCTGGACAGGTGCAGCTACCGTCACGCGAAAGAGCATCCAGTTAGCGAGAATGGCCAAAAGAAAGTAGAAAAAAAATGCAAGACAGAAACAGATTAGGCCAAGCAAAAAAAGTCAAGAAAACTGGGAACAGCGCGCAATTGGTAAGATACAATGGCGGGCCCAAGCCAGGTGTCAATCGAGATGCGTACAGGGGTGTGGATTGGGTTCTTGAAGGTGGGTGTGGATGAATGAAGAAATACACAGTACAACTGTACAGATGTGTGAATGCCAGAGGAGGGGGCCAACGAGAGAAAAAAGAAAAAAAGAGAAGTGAGAGGTTGGGATGTGTGACGACTAGGTACCTTTGTGGTTTGGATCGACAAAACAACAGGATAGACAGCAACGTAAGGAGACAAAAGGACATCAAAACAGAAAGAGCGACAAGCGCTTGTTGACCGTGAAACCTCAGAGGAGATGCTCGGTCATGCCTTCCTGTGAGGATACACGAACGTCGTAGACGCACGATACGGCAGTTGCGATCGATGCCAGGACCAGGAGAACCAGGAGGCCTAGGAGGGGCACAGCACGTTCGATATCTCTCTCACTGCGACGATTTAATTTGCCCTGTTATTATATTATTCGTCTTCAGCTCCCGGGTCGCCCCATTACGAAATAAGTTAACGCGACACGCAAAGCTTGGGGGTGGGCGGACAGATGGTCAGATGGCCTGTGCTTGCTGGCCGAGAAGTTCTGGGTCCCAGACAAGAAATGCTCCATTAAAGCACGTTGCTGGGGCCAGGGAGATGAGGAAGGGGAAGCCACGATGGACTAACGACGAAGTACATATTTTCTAAGAAAACAACAAAACGGAAGGCGCGCCAGAGTCGGACAGGCAATTCTTGGCCAATTGCAACAACGCGAAGTCGAGACGAAAGGAACGACTGTGTCACTGGTGTCCGACGCAGTGCACTGCAGCGCAATGCTCATCTACGGAGTATAATTTGTGTATCTTGTGTATCTCTCAGCTAGTTGTCAGGTACTGTTTATCTTGCATGTGCAACCACAATAGCAGGTCTCGTCGCGCAAACTTAGCGCAGCCTTGAGGGGCAAGGTACAAATGGTCCCTTGCCCCTTGCCCTGTTTGATTTTTCTGCGCTGCTTGTTGTCTGGCTCAGTCGCGCCTGCTTTATTTGTTGTCATGTGTCAACCCTGCTCTTGCCACCGACGTAAGTTTTGCTTTTGCGCTGAGTTGCGCTACTAAGGCTCTTCTACTCAGAGCGGACATACCACTTTCGAGGAAAGAGGTGGGACGGCCTAGCCAGAACATCGGAACGAGAAAGAGCATCACAGCAAAAACTTTTCAATGCAACATGATGAGTTCAGAAGGGGCGGCCCAGCAAGCTGAATATCGCGGTATTATCTTACAGGACGCTGCGACTAGCCTTTCGGGAAGGAAGAGCGACCCAGGCGCAAGGGCAAAAGTCGCCCCAGTGGGCTGGCAAAACGGAGAGCGCGACGGAAGGAACGACACGCAAGAGGTGGTTTACAGCGGACTTGGCAGGCGCGATGGCAGGCAATGACGAAATCGAGAAACGGAAAAGCAGTTCACAACCCATGTCGAGCTGAACGGCAGACGGCAAAAAGATTGAGGAGAGGAGAAAATCCAGCACAGGCAGATTGGTGAAAAGCGGGTCCTGATGAGCTCAGTTCCCAAGCCAGGACCGATTTGGTCAAGGCTGTCATGCTTGTGGGTTGTTTTGGGGCGGTCATGTGGGTCGTGGAGGGGTGTGGGAAGGAGCGACTCGATCACAAATATGGGGCTGGCAAATTGTATGGGAAGAAACAAGAAAAGAAATAAAACTAGAGAAAATTAATGACAAGAAAAAGAGTCAATGTCAGTCAAAGCCACTCCAGAGACATTGGGCGCGTGCTGTGTTGTCTCTGCAGTCGACGCGGCCAAAAAAAAAAAATGCACCTCGAATTAGCACAGAGCGTGGCGCCGGTAGCTTGTGTGAAGTAGAGAAAGGCATCATAATTGATGATAGGAGGCAAGCGAGCGACGCGGACTAGCAGCACGCGTGATTGGCGCAGTGCGGTGTGATGGCACAGTTTGGAACAGCATTGCAGGACGGCGACAGCCATGTATGCAAAACAGCGAAGCAATCCCATCATGTATCACACTGGACTGGACTCCAGGAAAACGATCGCTTGTGTTGCAGCCGGGAAGACGGCCAAGAAACCAAAGGCAACGCTACACAGTACATGTACTTGTTTTCGAGCTCGTCTCAGCCTATTTTTCTGGGTTCATCTTGGATTTAGGGTTCGTTTTTCTGGGCCTATCTACGGCTGCGACTTTGCAAAGTTACATTGAGAGAGGTCTTATCGCCACGCCAATGGGAATCCCCTGTTCAGCGCGTGCGTTGGGGGTTCCTTCAAGATTCAGAATCAGCTGAGGCACAGTAACAAACGACGTCATGATAACAGGCGCTGTGACGTGCAGACAATTTGCCAAGGCTGTGCGCAAAAAGACCCTGACGGTAACTCGAAAAAGACAACTCGTACGAAAACTAAACAAAAAAAATGCAGTTGCGGAGTAACGCGTAGTATTTTCTATCTCGGCGTCAAAATAAAAATTGGCACTGATGCAAATGAGTTGGAGACACGTACAAGTCGATCCTCGGCGACCTGTGACTTCCAGAGCAAACGCCAGGTCCAAGACAGCCGTGATGTGCACTGAAGAAAAATGCGAGGAGACCGAAAGGACCACGGCGCATCTCAGGCAGGCAAAGGCCATCCAGGTCTGGCTGGGCCTCGTCATGCCTACGGAATATTTTCCATAGCGCCGGACAAGGTAGGAGTGGAGAAGCCCAGATTGGTGCCGAGATTGGACGAGCGACGATCGACAGTGGCGCCGTTTATTTGTCTTGCAATCGTTTGGGGGACGGCGTATCTCTGAGAGGAATATGACATACAACATGCATACGGGGTACAACAGCGCAACAAAGACATGCCGATAATCGAAGGTTGGCGACGTCAGGACGGTCGAGACAATGAGGTCGACCGATCAAGAGGCTGAAGCAAGGCAGAGGCTGGCAGTCGACCGAAATGGTGATGGACAGATGTGCGTGGAATGGCTGAGCCGGACAGTGCTCGTGGTGACTACAGTGAGGCACAACAGCATCAGGTCAAGCACAGACAGATGAGAAGGTTCATATCAGGGCCCAATGGTGGCAGAGCCTTACAAGGATGGCGATGGTTCAACCTCTTGTAAGGCTCCACTGGCTTGCGTCGAATTTTCAGACACAACACGCCGTCGCGACTTAACCCGACTTAAACTGTACGATATGGGGAGCGTTTAATTACAGTCTGCCCGTTCTCGGCCAGAGATAGACGTCCATGATAGTGGCAGACACGAACACAGACACACAGGGTTGTGTTGCCGTAGGGCTCGTGTCGTGAAATTCGTGTGCGTTTCTTACAGCGGCACCTTCACCTGCTGACATACATACATATATATATTCGGTCTTTGAGAAGGGTTAAAGTGGCATTCTCTGTAGAGCTATTTCTTCTTGATTGTATTTTCTTTCTTCCCTTTAAATTCTATTAGTTTTGGTCGAATATTTTGCTGCGTGTTAACTTCATATGCCAAAAAGCCTTTATGTTCAATCGTTGCGATTTCATTTAATAACCTGTTGATTTTAACTACAGCTTCACAAGCAATGTGCCATTACTCGTACGAGAACACATCGTACGCTGTCAATGCTCCTCGGCTCGCCTAGGCTTATGGTTTGTTGGTCTTCATTCTACACTTCACGAATATCTTGGTTGTTGGTTTTTGTTTTCTTTGTCTCCACGTAGATCGTAGTCGCCGACGGTGTACTGATACCTGCTTTCTGCCCCCCCTTTACGGAGTAATAATTGCTTTTGAGTTTTCTTCAGTTCTTTTATTCAACAGTGATGGTATGCGACTTCGCATTCCATCCAGCAGAGTACAAAGGCGAGGAAAACAAGGCAAAGAAAGCCTTTGGCACTAATAGTGTCCAACATGTAGGCCAAGAATGCGACATGCGCACTATCTATTGGTGCGAATACCTTCGAATCGTTTCCCTCCCTTGTATGCCTTCCATATATGTAAGTCAACGCCGACGACCCCTCAAGAGGCCTCACGCGGCGCATGGTCAGGTCCCCTGATGGTGCCTGGGTGGTGAGTAAGAACCAAAGGGTCCGTTTGCGCGATGCCGTTCTTCTTCCGCGGCATAATCGCAGGTACACAGGGTGGCGGCTCTACTAGTCTGACCGGTCCAGTTCCGGCACGTTGTCCGGTAAAACATGGACAGGAACACAGTCTTAATAAAGGGGAATTCGAAGAAGAAGAAGAAAGAAAGAAAGAGACACAACAAAGAAAACGAGCAAGGGAGAGTGATGAGCGATCGAAGAAGCAACTGCTAAACACTTCGCTCGAAGAGGCAGTCGATAACTCGTCGATTGCGTTGGAATTTGACACGAATGTGCATGTACGTCGGCACGCCGTACGACATATTTGGTGACAATAAAACAAGCTCGGTGCAGAACGCCAGAGTGACCGGAATGCAAGACGAGCCGTGAGGCAGGCATCACGGCCGTGATCGGAATGGAGGCAGATGAGGGCCCGTGGTGGCATTGTTGCAACCACCAGAACGTGCGCAATGCGGTTGATACGGGGGCCTATGCATGCAACTGTCGAGAAAGTAGCAATAGCATGATGCTGCTTGGACCTGGAGTCTGGGTGCGATGCTGAGATGCGATTCGCTCGTCTTTCACGTCACAACGTCGCAATAATAGAACGGTATCAATGCACAAAAATATGTGCGCGTACCTCATTCTTCGCGTAGGCAAGGAGGATGACTACATATTGGCTCTGGAGGCTTCTAACCGTATTTTGATAATGGACACGATTGCAGTGCGACGTGGTGATGTTGAATGTCTGTTGGTTGTTGGTGCGATTTCCTAATGCGGACATGCACCTCCCAAACTGCCATTAAAAGGGATCACCAACGACATCAAAGGACTTCAAAAAGCAGCTGTTCGACGCAAGCAAACAAATGCAACACCAAGAACAAAGGAGGCTGCATGCGTTGTGATGAATACGGACTAGGAAACAGTTATGGGCCTTCCACGCAAACGCAGCATGGTAGAGATATGAAAAGGGCATGACTTGATGAAGTCCCCGTAGACGTGAAGAATCAACGCATCGCGCTTTGCAGCTTCATTTGACATCCAACACAGACGACGCCCCTATCCTTCACCAGTATGGCACACGTGTACGCACACAACTTTGACCCCAGCGTCCACCGCGCCGGCTACATCCCGGGGACCGAGTTTGCGCTGCCGTACCTCTCGCGCTTTTCGATGGCGCACGACGACGAGGCGGGCATGCTGCGCCATGTCAACTGTAGCTTGCTGTCGACGCCCGGGGTGCCGCCGACGTTGATTGCGCTCAAGCAGCACGCACAGTCGCTCGCCTATCTGATTGCGATGCTCAACCCGCACGGCGGCGACGACGAAGCGGTTGAAGTGCTCGTCAAGAGGGCCAAGGCGGCCAAGAGCGCCAAGAGGGCCAAACGCCAAAAGACGGGCCACATTGGCGATGACGACACCGGCGTCACAGACGGCAGTCTTCTCCGCGATCTCGTGTCAGGCACGACCGACACGACGACGGACAATCCCTTTGACTGGCTCGACCTCAGCCGGCCGTACACCAACGATGCCGATCCGGCACACCACCGGCCGCTGATCGACCTCGTCAACGAGGTGAAGGCGCGGCACGACGTGCTGGACACGACATACCACTGCCCGCTGACGACGTACGAGCCGCGCAACGGCGGGCGGTATACGCGGGACCGCAGCAAGGGCAAGGACAAGGACGACGCGCGGCGCTGGGACGAGGACGGCTTTGACCAGCGGCGGCCCTATGCATCGTACCACGGCTTGCTGCTGCATGCCAACATGTGTCTAGAGCGGCTGGACCACGAGTACGCCGCCACGGGCGGGCTGTTGTCGCTGCTGCCGACGCGCCGGGTGAATGGCGTGAGCGGCGACAACAACAAAGACACAAGCACAAACAGAAACAAAAACGAGGACGAAGACGAGGACGAGGAAGCGCCTGAGATAAAGGCCGCCCGCAACACCCTTGTCGGCCAGTGGATCGTCTTTTCGCAGAACCTCATCGGCCGCACGTACGAGCTGGAGGCTGCTTATGCCAACGCCGTGCATGCACTCCGTGGACGAGACACGGGGGCCGACACGGGGGCCGCGGCCGACAAGTGGCGCATGATCCACGCCGGCGACGACGTCTGGGCCGACGTGCACAGCAAGCTGGACGCATCGAGCACGGCCGATGCAGCGTGGACGGCGCAGCGCAGCACCCAGGGCGTGGTTGGCGGCAACCAAGCCGCCGATGCGGCGTCGGCCGACCGCGTCGTGTACGTCGACATCAACACGCGCTTCTACCGGACGGACGTCGGCGGCACCCACGCGCGCGGCGCCATCTACGTGTGTCCGGTCGGCGCACCGGGCATCGTCGATGCAGGCGTGGAGGACGGCTCTGGTCGCGGCTCGTCGGCGGCGGCCGATGATGCCGACAAGCGCGCCGACCGGCACGCGGCCCAAGGGCGCCACTACTCCGCCTCGGCTCTCGAGCAGCGCTACGACCGCCGCCTTCAGGACGCCGGCCGCATTGCCCGTGCCAACCAGCATCTGGCAGAGCAGGCACTCCAGCACGCGCAGGCGCTGCTGGTGCTGCGTCGCGACCAAGAACGCATGCTGGCGCTGAACGCGGAGCTGCAGAGGACGGCCGACGCGGCCAGGCAGCGCCTGAAAACAGCCGAGGCGGAGCTCGCAGATCTCAAGTCCACGAGAGGCTGGTGAGGACACGCGTGCGTGACGTCTCTGTAGAATGACACCACCTGCCGCGCATGTTGCTGTGGCTGTGGATGACTGACCCGGAGAGAAGTAAGATGACCCAGATGACAAGGTGCAGGGCAGCTGACAGGGGACTGGGAAAAGCTCGGGCGGGGGCGTATGCAGTCTAATTTCCACATTACAACACAGGTTGGCATCCGAGAACCGATGAGCAGGAATAGGAAAGAGATCCTAGAAAGAGAAACAGAAACAGAAACAAAAGTGGAAAACGCAAGATGAAAAGCACGGTCCCCAGATGCTTGCTGACCTCCCGAAATGAACGAACGCATCCAAGGATGTCTCGACGACAAGTGTGACTGTGTGACACATGCAGGAGGAAATCACATCTCGCCTCATCACCTGTGCTCTGTTGTTTGTGACCTTTTTCGGTCGACGGCGTACTTTGACTCCATCAGCTCCTCCCTTTCGTTTCTCTCTTCACCTTGGCAACTGAGAGAGCCAAGGCTCTGCAACGATCGGAAAAGGAAGACACACCGCGGGATCATTGTCTTCGGGCAGTGCTAAGATGCGGAACCGGTCGGAGGCGGTGGTTGGTCGGGTTTCGTTTTGTTTTTCAGCTCACATCAGCTCTCTCACTCACCTTTCCTTTTGTATTGATTTATTGATCCGCAAAAATATTGGTCTTGCGGTACTTTACTCGTCGTGCCGGCTCTCTTCCTGTCACGGGTTTATTAACTGGTCAGTCGGATACTTGCAGAGGCAGCAGTTTTTTTTTACTCTTTTACCTTCCTAGTCTTTTACTTTTTTTGTCTTTTCTCTTGTTCTGTTATTTCTTTCTTTTCCCCCATTAATCCCATTCTCTTCCCTTTAGTGACCTGTGCTACCATTTGCAGACAAACCGGGCTTGTCGGGGCCTAATCGTAATTACATTGTAAATTGCACCGACATAGATTGTAGGATAAAATTGCGCCTGTTAAACATCGCTTTCGCCCGTTTGTGATGGCGTGTCTCTATTTCTTAATTTTTTATTTTATTTCTTTATTTATTTGGTTCTTTTTCTTATCATTTTTCTAAGCACTCTCCTCATCCGTGCTATGCGATTGGTCCGTTCGAAGCCCCACTTCCGTCGCCGTAGCAACAGCGCACCACAACAAGCTGGATGTCTCCGCTTCGCAGCTTCTCCGTTTCCGCACTTTCCCTCGTTGTCGTTGCAGGACCAGCAATAGCCGCGCCCCACTTCTCATGTGCCCTTTCCCTGCGTGTTCACAACGCGCCTTCTACTCTTGGCGCAACGCAGATGGCTCCTGCGCATATCCATCAACGTAACCTTGCAAATCGCGGGAGAGAAGGCACGATCCTCAGAGCTCAGGCCATCGACCCTTCGAGCCTTCCTTGTCCGTCTGAGCGCAACACCCCTGTACGCCGGACGTCGTATGATATCCCTTTTCTTCTGCTCCAGTTCTGCTCCAGTTCTGCGCGCCTCCGTTCGACTTTGCCTCACTTCGATCCCTGCATCTACGTATCTGTGTTTCTCGCCTGGCCCACACTTCCAAACACCTCTGTTATTATTCCTTGCTTTTCCATATGCGGTACACAGCTGTCCTGGCAAGACAGACCCCTCGATACCAGTAGCCGATCCTATTTGCTTGCAGTTATTCTTCATTCTTGGATATTCGTCCTTCTCGATTCTTCTCGTTTTGTTACCGCGTACCTCCCTCCCCTCGTCCGTCACCCTCCTTTTCTCTGTTGTCTCACGCTCGTTGCCCACACCTCTCTCCTCCCCAGCACTTCAAAAAGCCAAGCGATGCGCCGCTGAACCCGACCAGCAGCGTCCGCCGAGGAGAGCGAGAGAGCGTTGGTTGCCATCGCGAGACAGGGCCCCGTCTCTTGTCGACGTCGAAGTCGCAGAAAGCATGGGTGTTTGGTGAGCCTGGAGCAGCAGAGAGACGGCCAACGACAGCAGCACTCACACAAGTAACAGCAGAGCACCGACCACTGTGCCATGTAACGGCCCGTCAACAGCTGCATCCATCCAGTGCTCGTGCTTTGTTTGTATTACTCCAGTCCTCGTTGGCTTCACTTTATTTTAGTTTTCCTTTCCTCTTGCCGACAGCCGACTCCGACCTTCACGCAGCGTCGTCTCACGCAAAAAGTACGCTCCGTCCTGCCGGGCGCCGTTGAGCACGGAGCAGTCAATTACGGTTGTCCGCCATCCACTTACAATGGCAGCGGCCCTGGATGGCCGACTTACTGGCCTCCTCCACGGCCGTCGCCAGCCAATGGCCGTTGCTCCTCAAGCAGTTATTCTTGCAACCCTCGTCCAGCTGCTGCCACGTGTCGCTGCGGAGTCCTCTTCCTCCTCATCCCCGGCCGTTTTCCCTTATACGCCGACCTCCATCCTCGTCCCGAGCGCCAACTCGAGCGTTGTTTATCTCTTCTCTGCCTCGGCCAGCGGCCAAGTCGAGTTCCTCTCTCTCAACATCTCGTCCACTCTCTCGTCATACTCGTCAAGCGGCATAGAAACACTCACAGCAGGGGTTCCGTTCCTCGTGAATAATGGGCAAGAAAACACTTTAACAACCTTTACGCCAGCCATTCGCTCCGATGGCTCGATATTTGTTTACGCCGGCGATTGCTCTTCGACAAGCTCCGACTCGGCCACCGTCTGGACCTACAACCCCTCGTCCTCGACAGCGCAATGGACGAGCAGCTCAATACCTCTGACTTCCTCCCAGTCCGGGCCATGGTTTCTCGGCAGCAGCACTGGCTTCTCGAACCAGGTCGCACCGGTCATGTCCAACTCTACGTTTTACCTTTACGGCGGCATGTGTCCGACAACAGGAACTGCCAGTTCCTCCGCAGATGTCTCTTCCAACTGGCAGAGCAGTGCCTCCTATTCCAACAAAATGTTAAAGCTCGTGCCGTCCGGCGACTCATATACGCCATCCTTTGTCTCAAGCAAAGGACCCCCAATCGCCGAAGCGGGCTTCACGTTCACAAAATTGCCGGCGTCCCAATCAAACCGGTCGGGCATCGTGACCCAGCAGGTGAACAGCGTCGTGCTTGGCGGCCACACCGAAACGGCGTTTGTCAACATGAGCACCGCCGCAATCTGGAGCCTACCAGAAGAGGCATGGTCTTTTGTGTCCATTGCCAACCCGTCGTCGGCTGCGCCCGGCAACTCCGAGCTTACAGTCGTACGAAAAGACGGCACGCCCTCCACAGCGGCTGCACCAGACAGCCGTTCGGGACATTCGGCCGTTCTAAGCGAGGATGGCAACTCATTGATAATCCTAGGTGGCTGGGTCGGGGACGTTACTCAGGCCGCAGACCCGCAACTGGCGGTTCTTAAGATGGGACCTGACTACGGACAGTGGCAGTGGTCCATACCGTCGACACAACCTTCAGGCTCCGGCATGTACGGCCACGGTGCTGCCCTCCTGCCCGGCAATGTCATGGTCGTCTACGGTGGCTATAACATTAGCAGCTCATCCACCTCACCTGCAAATTTGATCCGGAGAGGCTCCCCGTCGGACGGGAACGGTCTCATGTTTTACAACCTGACCAGTCTCTCTTGGTCCGAGAACTACACCTATCCGACCAAGGACTCGTCAGCTGCCGCCCCTTCATCGACCACATCACACACCTCTTCCTCCAAGATCGCTCTCGGCCTGGGCCTTGGCCTCGGTATCCCGCTTGCCATTCTCCTTCTTGTCCTGCTCGTACACATCTGCCGACGCCGCAGCCGCCAGCGCCATCGGCGAGATGAAGCCGTTCGTGCTCTCGCCCAAGACCACCAGCAGTTCCTGCATGGCCACGACGAAATGGTGGAGAAGAACGGTGGCAACGTGCCCTTCGGTTGGGGTAACGGACGGGAAGGAATGGGCTTCTATACTGGCGGCCATGATCCCTACGTGGGCCGCCGCTCTCTTGGGTTTGAGAGCCTTCGGAGAACCAAGCCAAGTCCTGCCTTCCCGACTTACCAGTCACCCAACCTGCATGCCGACGACCGTAGCGTGCCAGGTGCGGCCTTTTCCAATGGACGCACGCCGGCACGCAATGTCGCGCGTGGCCTCTACCAGCCAACAACAATCAATGACTACGAGTCTTTCCTGGCGCTGGGTAACAACGGAGGTGCTGCTGCAGGCAACAGCACTAACGGAATCCACCCCATCTATGAGGCCGACGAAGAAGACGATGACAACGGCACCGACAAAGGCAAGCAGCGTGCCGGGGCACAGACCGCCGATTCAACCGGCCGGTCCATTAGCCCCGAGACTGAGGAGCTCATCGACCCATTCCTCACGCCCAGTACGCAATCCGTGCACGCTGGCTCCAACAACCCCATGCGGTCGTCGTACGCCGGCGCTCTTGGGCCCAACACCGTCAACCTCAACCCGTTCGTGCGCAACACACCCAGCCCCGATCGGGCTATGTACGGCGGTGCGGTCCTGGGCGTCATGGATCCTTCCGGTGCTGGTGCTGGTCCCTCGAAAACTGGCCAGGACCGTGATGTCCAGGAATGGGTGACAGGTCTCGAAATTGAAGATCTGCTCTTCTCACCGCCTGCTCACGGAGCTGGCGCAGCAATTGCAGCCTCGATTTCGCCCGCACCAGGCCAGACACAGCCACGTGGGCGGGTGTCACCAAGCAACACAAGCCGCCGTATTAGCCTGCGGTCCAAGCACAGTAGCGGCGGTAGCCCTACGCGGAGCAGCTTCTTGGGTTCGGCCGCTGCCGCTGCTGCAGGAGCCGTGGCGGGCGTGACAGGCGCGTGGGGAAGCGGTGAAGACGAGGCCCGTACAGGGAGCAACCTGTCCGATAAGAGTGCGTTCAGTTTCCTGTCGCGAACGACTAGTTCGCGCGGCAACGTGCCCCACAGCGGCGTTCCTGGGGTCTTGAACACAAAGGTGTCCAACAGCGACTCAAGTTCCGCAAGCTTCAACACTGCGCAGACCGGCTTCCGCAGCCTTCGCAACGAGGGCCCGGAATTGCTGTACGGAAAG